AGGAGCTGAGAGAGTCAGCCAAGAGGCCAGAAGAAGCAAAAGCACTAAGGCAAGGAGCATGTGTGGAATGTTGGAAGAACAGCAAGGAGGCCAGTGTGGTGGGAACAGAGTGAGTAAAGGGCAGATAGATACAAGAGGGGACGGAGAAGTGACTGGGTGGGCTGGGAGCTGTGGGGCAGACGGGGGCTTTTGTTATAAGTGACGTGGGGAGCCAATGCAGGGTTTTGAGCAGAATGACAGATCTGACTTACTTTTTAAAATAATCCCTCTGGATGGTGGGCTGAGACAAGGCTATTGGGAGACAAGGGCAGAGGCAGGAAAACCTCTTGAGAGATTGGGATAGCAATCCAGGCTTGGATCAGGGTGGTGGCAGTGGAGGGAGGATAGGAGACATATTCTGGACTTATTTTCAGTTTGTAGGAGAGGGACAGCATCAACGGCAGTGTATTCAGAGAATGCTTCACAGCATAGACATTACTTGAACTTGACCTTGAAGGACAGGGAGGATTTGAAAAGATGGAAGAATTAAGAAGGCTTTCCAGAATGTGATAGGATTGGTGGCAACAGTGAATATGGCTTATTCTTGGGATAATGAAATTATTTTTTTGGAAATAAGATGATAAAGTGGAATCAGATTATAAAGTACTTTGAAAGCCAGGCAAAGGTGTTTAGACTTCAGTGTTCTCTATAGTAGGTGCTCAATACTTATTAGAAGGCTGTTTTTTAAGGACCACTTATTTTGCAAATTGGATTGGCTGGATGAGAGTTTCCTATTGAGAAGGTCAGCTAAAAGCCATACAGAAATCCTGGTATGAAGTAGTGAGGGATAATTCACATGTAGGTAATTAGCAGTTGACTGTTTTAAGTTTACTTTATAATGCAAGCAATTCCCCACTGTGGGAATCTCAATCTTGTGTTGCCAATCCCTATTCAAACAAAAATTATATGAGTCTAAAAACCTGTGTACTCAAACAGCCATGTGATTATAATTCAAGGTTGTAGAGTTGGATTGCAGTTACTATCAGGTACATGTGCAATTCCCGTGTCTCTAATTTAGTCAGAGGTGCAAACTCTGTCTACAAAAAAGGTTTATAGAAACTTAGCTCCATTCAAATGAGTCTGATTCATTCTCTATCACATATTTTCACAAATATTCAACACTAGCAGATGAACAGGAAGCATTTGCTGGACAACTTTCTAATGCCCAATTTAAGGGTATCTAAAGGTAACTTAAGTAACAGAAACCTTGTGTCAATTTGTTGATCTTATACAATGAAGAAATTTGCTTAGCTCACATTTTCTCTGAAGTAAAGAATATGTACCTTACAAAGAGGTATGATGATTTTAGAATTTCCTCGAGGTGATCTTATTCAAGTTATAAGTGAGAATGCTGACAAAGGTAGTAACCTATAAAAACCTCTTTCAAATGTATAAAAATTGTTTTCATTTAATGACTCAGGCACGTCAATTAATAGTTTAAATGGATAATTGCTGTCAGATAGTTTTCAAGACAAGTTATATTCCTGAGGGCTGATAGGGGAAAACCAATTTTTTAAAATGCTGTGTCTTCTTGTAAGCATCTAATATAAATAACATTTGTTTTGTGTATTTCCTATAATTCATAATTTGGAGGAAATAACAAGAGAAATGACCATGTTTCAAAACAAGAGATTCTCAGAGTCTAGAACTCTACCAAATCTCTAAGTCCTGGTGACCAGAAGAGAGATTTGAACAGTTAAATCAGAAATAAATGATAAAACTAGAGCCATACTAAAAAAAATTAATATGGACAACAATAAAATTCTAGAAAAAGGGCTTGAATTATTATTACATGTTAGATTATGAAATTCAGGATGATTTCAATAACCTAACTTTTCATCATATAGAGAACATTATAATTGAAGACAGTTTTCAATGTTTCTGAGAAGAAAACATGTAATCATCACTCTCATTTAGGCTCCAAAAATAATTTCAACTTTTGGAAATTCAATCTTTTCATAGACAAATGTTAATGAAAGTGGAAGGTAATTCCTCCATTAAAAAATAAGACATAAAGATGCTTTCTTTAATTTTGATCATTTCCTTATTAACACATTCATGGGAAGTTATGCAGAAACCTTATTTCATTCAAAACTGCCACTTCTTTTGGTGCATAAAGGATTCTGCCATCCCTCACCCCCCATATTCCTTAAAATACTTCAAATTTAGGCATTTAGGAAGATTATATAAGTCTTCTATCCACAAGTGATTAATACTACAAGGCCAAAACAATAAACTCTATATATGGCTTCAGATGTACTTTCATAAATATTGTGTCATTTAATCCTCACAAAAACCCTGTATTTTCTGTTAATTGTGTGCAGAAATGGAGGGCAGAGAGAATAAGTGATTTGCTCAAACTCACACAGAAAGTATGTGGCCAAGACAAGGTTGGGGTGGTTATATCCTCTGATACTACATTGGTCCCTTCAAACTTCTGGTCCCTGGGAACTTCTGGAAAGGTGAACACTTTGGTCAATTACCAAAATGGTTCCAAGATTACAGTTGCCTGGAGTCACATGGACACAGTTTAAGTTTCCCTCAGTAAAAAATGATGGGCAATCAATCATTTACTCCTATCTCAGGAGAGACTCTCGTTTCAAGAATCATCTATTGCAGCATTTGTCATGTCTCTAAGGCATATTTCCATTGCTCAATCAGCTCCAAAGGACAAGTGTGTCATCATCTTTCAATGCTCTGGAGCAACAACTTAAAATTAGAGAATTCACATAGGACTAAGTCTGGCACTGAAAGCAGAAGGCATATTCAGCTTGAGTTTGTGGAAGCTTCCCTTCAATCTTGCCAATTTTTACTAGTGGAAGTGATTTCAGAGCCATCATGGGGTTACTTGGGGTTGCCTGAGAAGATCATGATGAAAACAGAAAGGGGAATAAGATAAAGTGGGTCACAATGATCATGGAGCCCAGAAAAAGTGGAAAAGTTCTTTTTAATATCATGAATATGACCAATACAGCTGGACATCTGGGTCATTCACACTCAATGAGCCACTTTTTTCTTCAATAGCAGGACCCAGTTATTGGGTAACAACTCCCAATTCCATCTTGTCTATGATGAGGAAGAAGGAACATCAACATTAATTACTGTGTCTAGACCAAATACCTACTCTCTACAGTGTTTCATCTCTGCTGGACTCAAATAGTTAATAATAATCATATTCCCAATTTATTTTCAAGCACAGGTCTTTGACCTTTAGGACCTCATATTTTTAATAGAAAAACACTGTGAATAAGAAGTAATCAGAGACCATATAAAACAAGAGTTAAATTATTGGTACAATATATAATTTCTTAATTGTAATCATTCTATTCTGTACCATGTTAGTTAGGAAGAAAAGCATTGGGTTATTCTCTGGGAGATTTGAGACTCAAAAAAAAAAAAATTAAATCCAGGGCAAATTCAAGGCACAAAAATAGAGATCTGTATAGAATGAAAACTAACTTAAATTATCCCTCACCACAAATAGTACTTGTCCCCCAATTAAAGCTAAAATATTGGTTGCACTGCACTGTGGACATATTAACTTCAAACAGACAAAACTATCAAATTTTGACACAAGAACTGTTTCACAATATAGCTAGGCCATTCTGCCCTGATTCCAACTAAATCAATAACTGGAGAAAGATAGCAATAATTTTATGGATTGCAGAAAAACAGAATAACAGACTTTTATATCATATAATGAAACTAAACTTCTTTTTAAGAGGTTCAGATGAGAGAAATATACATTGGGTCAAATATCACAATAAAATTAAATAGTATTTCAGGAAATATTTAAAACTATTTTTTAGAAAGCATGATGTTTTAAAAAATTGTGATTGATACGTTTAAACTTCAGGCTTCCAGAAAAATTAAAATGTTAAATTGTAAAGCCACAATTCCAAGAATTACATAACTTAATTTTAATATTTTAGCACTTATATTGTAAAACATGAATCACACTAGTTAACCCAATCTATTTTTAGCATCTAGGAGAAAAAACATACATAAATAGAAATAAATACAAAACAGTACAAAACAGAAGAAGCTGTGGTAAGAAACTCCAGTAGAAGGAGGTATAAAAAGGAAGAACTCTGCTGTATACCTGAAACTAATATAATATTGAATGTCAACTGTAATAACAAAAAAACATTAAACTGGAAAAATAGGTTAAAAAAGGGAAGAACTTACATTTTGCAAAATCCAAGAAAGAAATGTTGAAAAATAGGATATCTATTTGAATCATATATATACACGTGTGTGTATGTAAACGTAAAAATTAGTCACTTATTTAGCATGAAATAGGCATTTAGAGACCTCATTTTCTTTATGTGTAAAATGAGAAGCTTAGAGACATTCTCCAAGGTCCCCACAATCTATTCTACAGTGCATAAGGATCTATGCTAGGTAACCTAAGAAATATAAAGAAGTATTTAACTTGGTCCCACACTCTGGAACCTTACAATTCTTTGGGGGAGATTAAAATGTACACATAAATATATAGTTTTCAAAGTGGAACAAAAACATGCTGAGAGGGCTTTAAAAGGAATGAAATGCTATAAGAGGAATAAAAACTGCTGTGAGAAATATCTAACATATAAGAGTAAAAGGGAGAAAAGGTGACTCTTCAGGTAGTCTAAAAAGACCTTAAATATTTTTTGGCAAACATATAAATCCGGAAAATAAAATGAGTAGCTCTTTTTATATAAATCTATCTTTAATGCTTAAAATTCAAAAAATGGGAGCCATGCACAGAGATAAAATATAAATTAGTTTAATTTTCTTTTTAAAGTTCGAATATTCTTATAAGTAAACACTACAGCAGCAAACTAAGCATTAAAATACTGCACTAGACACATAACAGAATTATAACAAATATAACTTAGAAAACAAACTACAAGAGCAATTTTAACCTTCTATAAATGCCCAAAGTACCCCATAGCCATATCTGGAATGGACTTTACCTTGTGAAGTGCTTGCAGACAGTGTATCAGCGAAGGAATCACTTTCTGGGTCAATAAGAGAATCTCCCAGAGTTTCACCCATAACAGCATGGAATAGGAATTGGTGTAATTCACACTGATATTTTGTCTATTTCTTGCAAAAGACCAATCCGTTAAAAGAAAAAGACTTGTGGTAGTAGAACTTGTGAACACACCAATGAGTCAAGACATCAGTTTCCAAATATTCGGGAGAGGTGGGAATAAACACACAAAGAACTAGGCCTGAATTGGCTGGCACTCTTCTGTTAGAGAGCCAGCTGTGACAAAATGTTGTGTCATAATTTTGTTCACTGCTTTGGCAAGACTTGGTACATTACAAGGAAAACATTGCCACACTGTCTCGCCAGTGACCCACATGTTTAGTGTCTTATAAGGGGCGCGAGCTGTACAGTATTTAGAACTATCAGAGCAAAAAGACTGTTCAATATGCAATTGCTTCTTTTTTAAAAAATGTATTTTTATTGATTTCAGAGAGGAAGAGAGAGGGAGAGCGAGAGATAGAAACATCAATGAAGAGAATCATTGATCAGCTGCCTCCTGCATGTCCCCTGCTGGGGATCAAGCCCACAACCTGGGCATGTGACCTTGACTGAAATCAACCCCGGGACCCTTCAGTTCGCAGGCCGATGCTCTATCCATTGAGCCAAACCGGCTAGGGCTCAAATGCTTCTTAAATGGAAAGTTTAAAATCTCTGTCCAGATAAACTTACTTGGACAAAGTTTTTTTTCTCGCTACCCACTCCTGGTTGAACCTCTATTCATCTTATCTGGAAAAATTTTTTAATTTAAACATGTATTCATATTTTAAAATTTGCTATCAGCATTCTACGGGAATGGTATATGCTAAGGTATTTATTCTACTACTTTACAAAGCCCCAAATGATACTGACTGCTACCAAAATTCTATAAAATTAAACAGTTGAGAGAATGAAAGTAGGGACTAATAGGTTTAGATTTTTTAATATCAGGTTTTCTTTTTAAAAACTTGATTATTAATTTTATCCATCAACAGCAGTGCAGCAATGTTGCATCAGTTGATGTTTAAAGGACAAATACCATGTTATAATGAAAAAAGTGGAGCTCTCTCTGAGAAGAATAGTGCATTACCAGGAAAAAAATAGACTTACACTGATAGGTTGGCAAGGAATGTGGTCAGTTTTGTAATCAGGAAAAAGCTGGCTTCTTGCTCAAGACCTTTGCCCTTTTTGGCAAGAGGAGACACTAGCTGTGCCAAAATTCAATGTGGGAGCTGGTCTCCTCTTGTCACATAAGTGGCTTAATAGAATTGCAGTGACTTGTGGATTTAAAAAGCTATCCCAGATAGGGCAATATATCAGATGGCAATAATTCTCTGAATTACACTTATCCCAATTTCCCCAAGTGGAATAAATATATATCTGATTAATCTACATTGATTAACTAGTTGTCCTGCAAAGGGACTAGCAAAAGTTTCCTTGTCAATCACAGAGAAACGGCTTGGTGGGAAAACACTTGGTGGATCTCAATAGCATAGAATAAAATGGACAGTTGGGCAATTACATCATTATTTTAAGCCCCCAAAATCTTTATAAGGGAAATCAAGTTAAAGATCCAAATGACTGAGGTAATTCTCGTTATACAGAATACATTGAATAGAACTATATTCAACTTGAATTCTCAATAACAGTTTCTCCTTCCCTCTCAATGGTGGGAAATTTACTTATATTATAGACACAATGACATAATATTTAAAGGTGTAATTAAATTTAGGATTCTTAATTGACTTTATGATAGATTTAAAAAATGATTAAAGTCAAGAGCACTTTTCTTTTTGTTAATAAAACAGAACAACAATTTAAGCCCCATTCTCTTACAGATATTCCTACTCAATGTCCCAAGAAGTGTTTACCTACTAAGTCTTATTCCTGTTAAGTGGCAGTGTCTCACCAAATTCCAGATCACCACCTCATTCCTGACCTCAGATTCCAGTCTCTCCAATTTTTAAAAAGTGGCATATTTATTAAAATGTTAAAATTATGCCAGATTATAAGAATGATAAAATTGGCAGATTGATACCATTTTAGTAAGAGAAACTCTTTAGAGTCAAACATTTTGTTAATAAAATGAGAAAATGAGGCCCCCAAATGACAAGTAAATTCTCCAGGTTAAACAGTAAGGTAGTGACAGGGTTTAAACTAGAATCTAGGTTGTTAGGCCTCTAATTTTCAGGCCAGTCTACTACTGGCTGTCACCAACATTTACTCTTAGAAATGTCTAAATCACCTCTTTTAATAAACCAGGCATCATGGGAATAGAGTATTAGGTGGGTAAAGGGAAAAAATATGTTAACTCTTTCAAGGAATATCAATGAGTAACTGCGTTATTCTGTTTTTAATACACATTGGTACTGGGAGTGAGGATGGGGTGTTTGAGGAGTCTCCCACTACCCTGCTTCCTCTTATTCCTACATCTGAGGAATGTAGTTAGAATGTAGCTCATTCATGCCACATAATTCTATCTGAAGACCCTAGTTTTGTTTCAGAGGTTAATAGTATTACCTGGTTTTCAAATTCTGTAGCACTCTCTGTAATTTGAGCAATACACAGATTCATTCTTTTTAACTACCATCAAAGGGACCAATTTCTGGTCTCTTCACCTACTGTTACTTCTATTCTCTCTTTTTTTCCTTCTCAGACTGCACTTGTCACATTGTCATTCCTTCTCCCCCTAGACTACATTACTTGAAAGCGAAAACCTGTCCATACTTTTATTTGTTCAACAAATATTTATTGATAATATATCACAATATATTGGCAGGCATTGAGCTAGATGCTGGCCTGATGAAAAAAAATGTGTTCTTATCTTGTGTAGTTCAAAAATAGTGAATAAACAAAAATTACAATTTTGATTATGTTTAATCTTTAGCCTGGCCATAGCAGGCTAAAGAAATATCTAAACTTTTGACAGCATATACAAATCAAGCAATCTAAGAAGCACAGGATCTTTTAATTTACTTAACTTTGAAGGTCAATTAGCATGCATTGATCTCAGAAATAATACATTTGCTTGATTCAAGTTATTAATATTAATGGACAATATATGGTCACCAGAAAACTTATGAGAGTTTGACATGCTTGTGAATATCTCTATCTTCATGGCCTTAAGGTTCCTCAGTGTCTTTATTATATTAATATCTGAAGGATATTATAATACGATCCATAAAGAGCATGCTGGTGAGTTGCACTGTAATGTGAGGTCTTGGAGCTTTAGACATAGAAACTTTGTATATCAATTGGTTATCAGCACTTTGCATCTGAAAGATACCTTTACATAGAAGTCTATTGCGTTTCACTCTACGGAAAACTTGTTTCTTTTTTAAATCCTCACCGGAGGATATGTTTCCATTGATTTTTAGAAAGAGTGGAAGGGGGGTGGGGGAAGAGACACAGAGAGAAACATTGATGTGAGAGAGACCCCTCGATTGGTTGTTTCCTTACGTGCCTGACCAGAACTTAAGAGCAAGTCTGCAACCCAGGTACATGCCCTTGACCCCTTGACCGGAATCGAACCTGGAACCATTCAGTCTGTGGGCCGACGCTCTATCCACTGAGCCAAACTGGCTAGGGTTATGGAAAACTCTTAAAGGATAGTCTTTGGTAATTTTACAGAGTGAAGAGTGGTATAAGACCATCTTCCTTAAGTACTACCCACTAAAACTAACTCAACTTCTATTGAGGGATGTAGGGCTTTGTGTAATGTAGAGGTTGAGACGGTAATTTCTCCTTGGACTTTGGAGACCAAAGTGGTATGGATGTGGTTGTGGGTACAGTACAGTCTCAGCAAGAGAAAAAAAAATGGGGCTAATTAGGAATGATTATAAGAGGAGGATAAAGAACTTATTTAACTCTATCACAGTTTATGACTGCTGAAAACAATGGACAGTTTAGTATATGAAAGGCTACTCTTCAATATTTAATCTTCAGTACTATTTTATGGAACCTATCTTTGGCCAAAAAAATCTGAATATTACTCTGTCAAAAAACTACCAAAATTTTAGTTCATTTAGAAGAAGGCAACTAGACCGGTGATTTTCAACCTTTTTCATCTCATGGCACACATGAACTAATTACAAAAATTCTGTGGCACACCAAAAAATATATCTTTTTTGCCAATTTGACAAAAAATAGGTATATTTTTTATTCATGCAAACTGGATAGCTATTATTGTGTTGGCTCTTGTCCTGTCATTATTTTATTTGACAATCTAAGGGAAAAGAGGTCAGTGCCCCAGACTAAATAGTCAGGTATCATATGTTTTAAAAATTCTTGCAGGACACCAGTTGAAAATTGATGAACTAGACTAATAACAGTTAAGAATGATTAATAGCAAAAAGAGGCCTAAACATTTATCGTTAATAAAATCATAGAATTATGTCTGTATAAAGTTTTTAAAAGCATTATTCAGTGTTTAGAATTATTTGCATCAAATTCCCCAAGAAATAGATTATTAAATATTTTTTGTGTTGCATTACTCTTGAAACCTAACTTTTTTGGGGCTATAGATTAAACTTGGGTTTCATTTTCTAGATTGAATTCAAATTTTAAAAACTGCTCTCTTCTATTTTATGTAAAATAAACTATTAATATCAGTATAGAATAGTGTTTATAGTATTCTTTTCTTTTGCTATAATCTCATTTTAGAAGCTGCATTTCATGTCAAAGTGCCAAGAACACTTAAACTAGCTCCTAAAAGGTGAGGAACCCCTTGAGAGAACAATATCTAATACCTCTTTATATCCCTGGAGCCTGGCACAGAGTTCCTGGTTGGCATAAAATATGGTTATTGTTTTTGTTGGTGATGAGAATGATCAAAGAACAGCTGCTTGCCCCAAATGTCTCACATGTATCATTCAAGGAGGAGTTTAGAGACCTAGTGAACTGAGCACAGCATCAATTTTCTTCTTGTTCCAATAAGACTTAAATTCCCTGATGGTACTCTAAAGGAAGCCAGCTAATTCCTAACAACTAGAATGACTACCTAAAGTTCACTTCTCCCCCTACCCAGAACTGCTGCTTTTTCCTAGTGCAATTAAAGTTGGCTCAGAACCTCATCTTTTAGTGGTAGTTGCATCAATTCAGAGTTTCCTCATAGTCACAGGAGACAC